AGGAAGGGCCAGCACACACACCAATGTCACTACAGCTTTCCACTGATTCACCACAGTATTGGGTTTGTCATCTGCTGTGAACGACTAGTATTAAGTGAGTGACAATGGCCCACTTGACATGTTGTCAGTGCACATACTGTTAGCACAATAACATGTTAATATGAATTTGATTTGATTCTACCAAGAAATGTTTTCCAATCGTGGCAGGTCATAAGTCAGGTTAGAGACTATTTTTGAAAATTAAATTAATTACTGAGCTTTCAATTGCTCATACACAGACAGTAAAGGCACTTAGAGATATTATTCAGTGTGAGCACAAAACCAAACCAATGAATTTATCATTTTCATCGTAGCATTTATTTCCTTTGTTACTTTCATTGCTTAGTTCAATGCGTCGGTCTTTATATGACACATGCTCGCTCGCCGTGATGAGTTCTTTCACACAACAAAGGTCAGAGGCATCACTTACAGAAAGAGAAGGACCCCCACAAACACTCAGTTGCTCCTCTATCAATTATTGAGCCGCAGTTGTCAGTTGAAAAGCCAGCCAGACTTTCCGTTGATCTGTTTGATGAATATTTCAGCTGACAAACCGGCCACCTGACACTCCTCACCAGAGCAATGTGTGGTTAGAGAGAGGTCACGCGTTCTGGCCACAGTCATGCACATGTGCATGCACATGTATATACAGTTACAGTGTAGCTGTTGTTGCTATTCTATTGTGAATGCTTTTAGTTACTGTTTGTTTACATTACTTTCCCCCCAGAACTCTCTGTGGTGGTATCTGTGTTGACTACAAACAAACAAAAATAACATGTTTCCTTAATATATATGTGGACACTACACGTTGGAGGAAAATGCTACTATAGCCTGAACGATATAGGATTTTTCGGCCCGATACCAACATTTGCAAATATTTATTTACTTTTTCACACTCCCCTCGACTCTGCTTGAATCAGCTAGTTATTTTTTAGCATTCCCAAAAGGAAAGTTTCAATGTACAATGTACTCCGGTGGACTAACTATGCAAAGTAAACTTCATGCAATGTCAACACTTAACATGATGAAGGGTGTCATCTAGACTGGCAAACAGCTAATATTGGCCAATGTTATCATCATTATCAGACGATATCCATCCATCCTCATGTTCCTCTCTCAGCCCTTGGTATTTTTCCAGCTTTTCTTGTTTTTTTCTTGCTAATTTTGCTATCACTTGGTATATCTGCATCTGATATGGCCGTCTGCCTCTGCTTGTCTACCACTACCACGTCAGGTTGTTCTTCCAGGCCATACTTGGCACAAATGTTCCTATGCCGGCCACTTGGTTATGGCATTCCATGTATGCCCTTCCTGCTAGCATCTTGCACCCTGCTGTTATATAGTGGATTGACTCAGGGGCATCTTTACACAGCCTGCCAGGTGTGATAGACCCCAGCCTCTATGGATCTTGTGCTGAGAGCTTGTTCTGCCATGATTTGTTCCTCTGTGTTGTCTTTCAGTCCAGCTTTGTCCAGCCACTGGTAGGACTTCTGGATGTCAGCCACGTCTTCTGTCTGCTGATCTCACTGTACACACTGTGCAGGAGCCTGTCCTTCCATGATGCTTCTTCTCTTGCTCCTCTTCTACTGGCTCTGACACTCACTAGTCCCCGGCCACCTTTCTGCTTAGGGTACGGTCTCAGGGTGCTGGATTTTCGGTGAAACCCTCCATGCATGGTAAGGAGCTTCCTTGTCTTGACATTAGTGGCTTCTATCTCTTCCTTTGGCCAGCTTCTTATCCCATCGGGGTATCTGTGTTGATTGATCAGGTCTTGTTGTTTACATTCTGCTGATTTCTCAGGACTTGCCTTAATCTCTGCAGGTACTTGGTAGTTGCAGCTTTCCTAGCGGCCTCCTCGTAATTCCCAGATATTCGTAGCTGTCCTCAGTGTCCCCTCTGACTACCTTCCCTCTTTTTGTTACTTTCCGATTACACTTCTCCAGTCCAAACGACATTCCCATCCATTTGGACTTTTATTTTAGACTTCACCAACCACTGCTTTATTATTCAATGCAGAACACAGATATCTCTTTGCTTGAAGGAAGATACTGATCACTGTAAATAAAATAACATTATAGGTAATCCATGCTGATATTTTATTTTGAGGTTTACTGAAGAACAGAGTAAAATAGTGATGGGTTTCCTGGTGAGTTTGCACAGGGAACACTCAGGATATTTTCATCTAAAATTTTGGGACAATCAAATTCCTAGGATGAAACTGCCAGCTCACTACAAGAATGTTACATGAAAGGGAAACGATTCACCACTTTGAGCATTTTTAATTAAAAAAAAAAAAGTCATATTTTGCATTCAATATAATGATTTGACCACAGCATGAAAGAAAAGCCAAGAGAGCTTGGATGAACTAGTGATGTGTTATTTATGTGGGGCTCAGCTCAGATGCTACCTCACTAAAGGAGACATACCCCATAAATTTTTCTGTGGCCACTATGAGCAGGTCAGGAAGGCACCAATATTTCCTCTTTATTAGAAACAACAGAAACAACATACAGCCATAAAAGGGGCCCTCTGAGGTGAATCTGAAAGACTGGAAATGGCAAGAAAAGTATGCAGTTCGAGGAGCTGAAAGGTAGTCACACAACCCATTTCTCTCCAGTCAGTTCATACGCATCTTGGTGCATTTCCTCATAACTCTTCCACCAGTGACTCACAAAGTCCTCGTGCTTCATCACAGGTCAACTTGGAGATGAACTTTAAAGGAAGAGGTAACAAATGATCACAGCCTCTCGGGCAATTCATATCTGCTGAAGTGCCATAACCGTCTACGTATCCTGACCTCAATTTGGAGGCTGCGTGTTGTGAAGGCCCATCTGAGTGAGATGGTATCGATCTGAGCGGGGCTCTGGCAGCATCAATAAACAACAGGCTTCAGGCTTCAAGGCTGAGGAGACACATCTCTATTTCAGCTGGAGGGTTTGCATCTGGATACCTGAGTTGGGACGTGGCCCTGGAACAGATGGTGGGACATGTTTTTCTTGCTGAGCTCACAGCTCACATTTGTGAGACCAAGCCAGTGATATTTAGCCCACCCTGCTGGATCTATGAAGGTAAATAAGGCCCCAAACTACATGCTCACATTTTTTACTCTAAATAATTACGAATTAAGTTTAAGGGGCACATTAGATATAGAAAGATACCAAGTAGCAGCCAATATAGCAGAGAACGATCAATGCTTAACGGGTAGACAAATAGCATTTCAAGATCTTCTATATCAGCATTACAGCGAGAGACGACGGTGCTGACTTTGGCTCGTTAATCAATAAACACAACGAGCCGCCCAATATGTTTGACACGGACTAATGAAATAATAATCATCAAGAGAAAAAGAGGATGTGAACAAAGGCTGCATTTCTTAATAAACAGAAGAAAACAAAACTAAAGTGAAAGGAATTTGGCGGTCCTGCCAGGCAGTTTTGTTGCTGTCTTGTTTACTTGCTCTTTGCTGAGAAAGTTAAATAAGTGTGCTTCATATATTTAGAGTCAAACTGAGCTCTCTTTGCGCTAAGCAGCTTGTCAATAGCAAGAAAAGAGGCATGGAGCGAAAGAGGAGGCCTGATAAAACGGCTTTTAATTACCAGACAGTGAATGTTGGCCTTCCTCGTCCACTTTCCCCTCCCAGCTAAGCCAGGAGTTTGATTTCTGATAATGCGGATTGCTGACTGGGCTTCATCCTAGTTGTCCCTAAAGCAGAAGGATCTAACGTCACGTCCTGGGAGAGCACGTCTGACAAAGTGCCATATAGATCCTCTGCTTTTCATCAGAAGTCAGTGCTGGTCGAGGCATTAATCCGAGTGCTTGATGGCCTTGCTTGTGTTTCCCCTTTTGTATCCAGTTGCAATTAGGCGGAGTAATAATTTCAAGCATTGCATGGAAATCAGTGGGTCTTTAACCTAATTGTTGGTACAGGTGTAAGATCAGGAAGGATCAATGCAATGAACTCGTAATATCCCTCTGGGAGTGTTTTTTAAAGGTTCAAGTACAGACAATTAAATAAATATATGGTAGATTCAGTGTTTTACATTTCCTTTTCTTTTTAAGTGAGATGGTAATCACTGATAGAGGAGTTCATCCTCAGGCCAATATGGGATGGAGACATTTTTTGTAAGAGCCAATGAAACCCAGCCTAGTGCAATGGCCGGCACAGCACACACACCACCACTGAAATTGTTTTCAACTGGCACATGTATTGTATAGCCAAATTTAAGCCATGGGGAGACAGAACAGGCTTTAACAACTTCTTATCATTACACAGAACCCAGGTGAACAGACTTAGGTATCAGGTCTGTGGGTAGAGCAATGTAAATGAACAGGATAGAGACTTCACTTTACTCAGGGATCAATGTCTTTTTTCCATGAACTGCAATCAGAGCTGTTTATAGAGTGGACAGAGCAGCTGTTCACTCACAGGGCCGCGATCAACACAGGTTTTAAGAGCCCTTTTGTTTTACACTCAATTATATGCTAATGGCGAGCGCAGAGTGGAAACCTTTAAATACTAATGCTGTTTTAATGTCAAGTGAAAGAGGGAAAAAAAAACACTTTTTAAAAAACTGTGGTGGTTTTCATCTCAACAGCAGTACATTTCCGTGTAAGTGAGGGCCATTTACGAAACATTTACAATTGTGATCTAAGGTCATGTTTTTAAAGGAATATTTATCCATAATACCTCAGAAATCTATTGTATTCTCAGTATTGTACTCAACTTATCAACCTTGATCTCAGGTCAGTGTTATCTACAGCAAAAGCGGTAATTATTCCTTTTCAGTGCAGAAACAAAAACTTTTTAAACCGTATGTATATTTCATTTTATAACATAGGGGAAAAAAACCCAAAATAAGATCCATAAGAATAGCAGCGTTCTCTCAAACTTCGCCTATTAGAATTTGACAGATTGATATAGATAGTGCAAGTCTTTTATTTTGAAAAGGCAACGAGCGGATGTTGATTCGGAAGCGCTGTTGTAGCAGTTTCCTCAAAACTAGCTATACAGCTAAACACCTACGTTAGTACAGTGTAAACTTTGTCTCGTGGAGCAGTGGTGTACACGTTCACACTTCGGGATAAGCCTTTCATACGGTTATGACTTGACTGTGGTGTCGGCGGCGACCGACCTCAAAACCTTTTTGTTTTTTAAAAAGGCTCCGCATCACTTAAATCAAGAATCCGGACTGAGCAGGATGCTAGCATGTATCGTTAGCAAACTGCTGCAGGGAATTAGCTGGTTAGCTTCCACATCCAGTCAACTATTATGAGGCTGAAGCTTCCCTCTTATTGCTCTCACTTAGGTTAAATACTGACAGCGCAATGAACACCGAGGCGATAGTGATCCGAATAAAAACGCCGACAGGAGACATGGACTCGTCCGTGGACTGTCCGTCTCTTCTGAACTTCAATGACTTGCTCGTGAGTCTGCCTCATGCCAACTATCACTTTTCACTCACAGACACACTGCACAAGTCAAAAACACACGGACTGTTTCTGACTCAGCGTGTCGTAACCCTGCCTCATTAATATCTGTCAGTCTAATAACCATCCTTAGCTGTCTGGTCCTAATTCACCCTGTCAAACATTACAGGTCGCAATCAGAGATGTCATGCCTGAAGCCACTGTCACGGCCTTTGAATGTAAGTACCTGCTTTAGAGTTGGACTGCTGTAATGCTGCAAGAGGAAGCTTTGAATGACTGTGTTTACACACCAAAACAATAGCCCTGTAATGTAGGGACTTGTAATCAGTTATCAGATTGGTCTGAAGGAGAGGAGATCTCATGCAGCTGTGCGGGACACTTGTTTATCCCGTCATAAACAGTAAGAACCGATCCCTGCTGTCATGGGCTAGACTCTAGCCCTCTTGAACGGGCTTCATCTATCTGAGAGAGTAAAAAGCTTCACACATTTTCATTGTGTTAGCTTCTCTCTTCTCTGTTCCCTTTTTTTACTACTCGTGTTAACCTCTAGCATGCGTTTTATCCAGACATGCCATAGCTACTGTACTAACTGATTGATTGACAGGAACAGTTGAAGTTTCTCTCATTCAATCAAATTAAGATTTAGCCTCTTGTTATAGGCACCATTCAAGCCTGTTTACGGGTAGAGTGCAAAGAGTTTGATTGACATACAAACATAAATACTGCTTACTGAGTGCTTTTATACATTATATTTTATTGTATGATTTTGATTGTATGTTTTGGCTCTCCAAATTTTGCTATTGCATTAATACTTAATATGGAATGATATGCTTTTTTGTTTGCATGCCTTGATTCTATTAAATGTTTATTATACGTAAAAGTGTTGTTTTACAGTGTCTTCTGTTTATATTTATTATACCACACTTGTTACTGCAAAAAAAATCTGTTTTGAATTTTCTCTGTGATTTCCCCCCTTCCCCATTATTAGTATTTTATTTTTTACAGTTGTACTGTTTTTGTTTTTGTGTTGTTGTTTTTGTTTTTTTTAGACGAAGATGAGGTGGGAGACAGAATCACAGTAAGAAGTGATGAAGAACTCAAAGCCATGTTGTCATATGTGAGTACATAAATGTTGCATGCAGTACTTTGACCAAGTCAGGCATAATATCCACAAATTAGAATACTGTGCGAAAGTCTTGAGCGACCCTTGCTTCCTCTTTATATTTTGTTTCCAACAAGCTGGACTTTGTAAGTCTTTAAAGTGCTCTTGAGCATAATTCTCTAGGCTATCTGAAGGTCAGGATATTGGCTGATTTTTTTTTTTTTTTTAACTAGTTTTCAGTTCAGTCTTCCTACCTGACCATTTTAAGAGGACTGATGTTTGTTGTTTTGAGCTATTAGTCAAAAATCACATATCTCAGCAAGGTGTGTCAAGAAATCTGAAGAAACGAAACAAGTGGAGAACAAAAGAAGATGTGGTAGGCCTAAAAGTATTATTTACAGTAGATGAAAAGTACCTGAAAGTCCACAGAAAGTCATTAAGGCATGGGAAAGCGAGGGTCAGATTAACATGAAGAAAGGTAAAGCAAAAAAGAGACAGAGAATTTTTTTTAAAAGGGTGGGAAAAAAGACACAAAGGACAATAGGTCACCAACTGCTGCATCTGTAACAAAACGCATTCAGCAAATAAAAAGCACCTGATAGAGGATAGATACGCAAACGTACAGTCTTTCTGTGTGTATGAGTAATAACACTCATACACACAGAGTGTGATTGTGTTGTTTTCATGAAAGTTACTTGATTATGAGTTTGATAAACAACAACAACAGCCACTGGTAGCCAGAGGTGACAACCTAAATTACACAAGAAATGGACTGAAAATATGTGGCAACAGGTCTTATGGAGTGATGAAGCTAAATTTGTTTAAAGTTTGTTGAGTTTAGGTTAAAGGTAGAACAGTGAGTGTCTACAGCTATCTGTTAAACACTGTGAAGGCTCCGTCATGGTTTGGGGCTGCAGTTAAGCCTGTGGTGTTGGAGGTCTTGTCAAAGCTGATGGATTCTGAGTGCAGAAAAGTGTGGCCAGACTTTGATACACCATGCAATCTCATCTGGAAAGTGTGTGCCTGGCAACAGCTTTATTATTCAGCATGACAATGATCCTAAACACACTGCCACTGCGCAGAAAAACACACAATTGAACACAGTCAGTCATGGATTGGCCTCCCCAGAGCCCAGACGTCTGTAGCTTTTCAGCTCACAGCCCGACACACACACACCAACACAACAGCACAGATAGCACAGACGTTAAGGCGGCGAGGCGCGATTGCGGGTGCCGCTCAGGTGCAGCGTCGCTGCAGACCACGCCCCGCCACACACATTAACCAGGTAAAATACATATTTAGGCAGAATTTTGCAAATATCTATTTTTTCATTTTTCAGCAGCATAGTACTTTTTTTTCCAATTATTATTTTTTTTAAAAAGTCAGGTCAAGGCTCCAAAAGCCCAAAGGTGATTTAAGGGTGGCGGCTCGCAACAGTTTTTCTTTGCTACATGGGTCATTTTAGTTCAGCTGGGTGTCTTTCCTTTTGTTATATTTCTTTAAGAGTTCAAAATGTGTTAATTACATAAATAAAATGTAATTTTCTCTGTAGCACTTCATGGATTTAAGCAACACCTTAGTTGTTTACACAAAGCATAAAGGTAAAAAAAAACAACAACAATATATACAGTGTTATCTTCATTTTAGATGTCAAAAAGTATTTGCGGCTCCAGTGTTTTCTTTTGCATGGAAATTACGTCCAAATGTCTTTTTGGGTGTTAAAGGTTGCTGACCCCTGGTGTAAGAGAATTCACACTGTTTAAGAATAAATATGGTCACACCAAATATTGAATTTCAGACTTGTTAGAATTATACAAGCTCTATACATATGCTGTATTTCTAAGTATGTCTGCACATGTGTCAATAAATCACTGCACCTATTTCCTAATTTCCTAGCAAAATATAAAGAAATGAGGGGTTGATCAAGACTTTTGCACAGCACTGTACATGCCAGGGTTATGTTTTCCAGTTATGCTGCTGTATTGTAGCATTCTTACTGTGTGCCGATTCCTCATTGGAAAGTAGTTCTGACAGAAACTGTTCACATTCAATCCTTTGTGCAGTTTAGATGACATGGCCAAGAGCATGTCTGAACTACATTTGAGCATTTTGAAAGGTCCTCCTCCTTTATGTGTTCTGCACTATTTTGGTTAATTTTTTTTGTGCAGCTTTTTAGAGCCATTTAAGTGTCTGGGGTTTTGTATATTGTATCGTTTGGAAAGCTTTTGAGGCACGTCAAATTGACATGACACAGTAACAAGGACGTTGTTCATATTTTCTGTATTTTTTAAGTGCTTTGCTCAGCGCCATAATAAAGCCACTCACCTCTCTTTTTATTAAGCAAAACCTTAGACCCAGTCAATCCTCAACAATCCTGAACTCTCAGTTTGAGTGTTTACCTTTCTAGCTCGCATGGACTTAAGGTGTAAATTAGAGATGGCACGATACCACTTTTTTATGACCGATACCGATATCATAAATTTGGATATCTGCCGATACCGATATGAATCCGATATAGTGTTTTTTAACCAACAAAACTGTTTTTTTTAAATATCTTGCTGCATTTTGTATAAGTTCATACTCAAGTTTAAAACAACAACTACACTAAAGCTATTCTGTTATACCTGTATACAAAAAAAATATTTCATAGTTCAGCAATACTGATCAATCTAATAAACTTAAACCTACACCATCCTCCCTATTCTGGTATTTTAAAGAGTACTTAGTGTAAATATTACGCAACCTAACTAATAGGGTTCCAACTCCCAGCAACAACAAAAATAAAAAAATAAAAAATAGGGAACCACCCCTCATGCTCCACCTCATGATGCTTAATCGACGTAATCAACCTTAATTTGATGCAGTGCGAAAAAAAATGCACAGAAATCAATTATTTTTCAAGAAATATTAAATAGATTCAACATCTTTCTTCAACAAAATTGCAGACTGCACAGATGGTACCTTCCCAAAGGAAAAAGTACTATAGCTTACTAGGGTATATATATTAGACTTAATAGTCACTATATACAGTAATTGACTTCTATTCATTTTACATCAAATTAAAACTTTGGGTGTCAGATAATTATTTATTAAAAGCTCGACATTTTAAATGAGAATAAGAAAGAAAAGTATGTCTTTGTGCCCCCTTTTCCCTGTTCATGCCCTATCGGCCCCCCTGGCTAAACTTGCAAGATCCGCCCCTGCACAGTTACCAGCCGTCAGCTACGTAGAAAAAGATCCTCGAGTAGAAAGTAATATTAAATACATTCTAACAACAGCTGATCAAGCTTAAACGTGCTGCTGTTGTTCAGCCGCTGGTTTCCTCTTTCTGGTGCAAAATGGGCCAAAAACAAACAAGAGAGACGGACTCCTGACAGAAAAGCCGATCAGCTGATCATTAAGCAGTTTCATGATTGAAGTAGCAGCCGGAGAGCGAGAGGCAGTCGCTCGTTAAGCTTAACGCAGGAATGCTTTACAAACATTCAGAGATGGACTTACACACTTGCTTTACTTCTCTCGGGATAACTTTGTCGGAGATTAAATGCCGGGTTGCTAGCGAAGCTCCACATGCTATCCAGACCACCGACAGGTCCCCATGCCACAGCCGCTCTATCACGTGATGCATACTGCTCCGACGTGCTAACGTTCTGAGGTGAGTTACGGTGTGTTGCAAGTTTTGTGAGCTGCTTTCGTGATATTTAATGGATCGGATTACATTTTTTATTTTTCTCCGATATCCGATCCAGTAATTTAGGTCAGTATCGGACCGATACCGATACGTAATATCGGATCGGTCCATCTCTAGTGTAAGTAAGTCATTTTAAGAATGGTTTGAAAAAACCTTTAGTATTAAATATGCTACACCAAAGTTTTTAATGTTAAATTAAAAGGCGTTCTTCGATAGCCACCAAAACCTTGGTGGAATTCAAAATGACCTCATCAATCTGGTGAGTTACATCAAATACTATAAAATACTTGGCCTAGAACGAGAAGCACAATTTTTCAGGTAGCAAAACATGAGACGGCAAGATGCTGATTTGATGGCAATCTCCACTGACGTAGTTATTTATAATATAACATGAAGAAATTGAAGCCATATAGCCTCATCTAGTAGCAGTTAACCTATGGCAATATTCAGCAGCACACATGCAGACACGTCCCACATCCCCTTCAGCTCCCTCAAATACTGCAGTATATTTTCATATTCGACCATACTTACTGTTCATGCCGCGGACAGTAAGAGTAATGGCGTGTAATGGGTTTTCTGTATGAAGTACACTGTAAACTAAATGAACTGTCAATTTTTATTATTTATTATTCAGTACTTAAAGTTTTGCCTCATTAAAGAGCAGCCCCCCTGGGCTGCAGAGTTGTTCAAAATCTACTTTCATCTGTGGATGTCTTTTACCCCCCATCAGCTCACAATGATGCTACTAGAGCCACAGGCACAATTTACACTCCCTGCTTTTTTTTTTTTGTCCATTTTTGTCATGCATTCACTTGTGGTTGCTTTTTAATCATTAAGTAGCATAGGGTAGCAGGGTGATTAAGCAAAAAGAGACAGATGTTGTGCCAAGAAGTGTTGTTAGATAGACGTGGAAAAGGCTTTGACCTAAGCAAGTTTTGTTTTCCACAGATCCAGCGGATGTTGTTCTGTGCACTGTCCTGTTAAAGCTGGAGTAATGGTTGAGAAAGGGGCAGTGTTTACAGTGGGACAAATTATGATTTGATCTCCTGCTGAATTTGTACGTTTGCTCACTTACAGTGAAATCAACAGTCTCTAATTTTTATGGCAGTTTAATTTTAATGGAGAGAGACCAAAATTCAACCAAAATCCAGAAAAAAAA